ACAAAGCAGAATCGGACCTATATACAGGGTGTCTCAAAAAACATGTGCCATCTCTCGTGGGGAGATTCATCACGTAAAAATAAGATTTATTTTTCATATTAACATAGGTTCGAATCTGCTTTGTTTCGTAGCTACAGGGTGTTAAAGTCTTAATATTTTTTGATTTATTATAATTTTCTTTCAACTACTTTTAGCATTTCGAATGAAATTTTGATAGAAAAAGTAACTATAAATGCGACATATTTTAAAGCTAAAAAAGTGTCAACATATTCACCAGGGACGTGCATATGGGTTATCACTGGAATATTTTTCTAAAAAAAGCATGAACGCCATTGACTTTTTTCTCTTGTTAGCAAAATAGTGTAAGCAATTTAATGTCGATTAAAAGTTGTCTCTTGATAGTTTGTCGATTTTGGCTTTCTTGGTGAGATAAACGCAATTTTATTAATTTGCCTTGATCCAAGTCTAATAACAAACTTTAAAAAAAATTAAAATCAGTAACTTGCGAAAGTCTTATAACAATAAGTACTCATTGATTCCTCCTCAAAAAATATGAAAAAAAAGTTTCTATAAACATGGGTATGGAAATTCATAGTTTTAGAGTTCCAGGATGTTAAAACTTTTTAAAACTAGATTTTTTCTAATTATCTTAAATACCATTATTTTTTTATTTGAAATTGCCGTATGTTGGACTAATAGTAATAATAACTAATAGTAATAATATTTCATAATAAATTAGAGGTAAAATATATAATTTTTTAATTTTGTTTTTATTTTAATTTTATTAATTGTGATTAAAATTGCGTTTATCTCATCAAGGAGGCTGAAGTGGAATTGGGATCAAGATATAATTTTTAATACATACATACATACAGCCGTTACTCGCTGACGAGTATTCGACACACATAAAGAAAATGGTCACGCAAGGCGTTTTCTTTCATGAGCTTTTCTGTGACTGAAAAGCCCGATACGTGATGTTATCTGCCTACCGCACTCCGGACATTCAAAAATCTCATTGCTTTGTTGCCTCTCTACTTTTGGTTGCCGCTGTTAACTGAGTTTACAACCCTTCTCCATTGAGTTCTATTGTGAGCTGCTTTTTCCCACTCATTCTGCATGTTAATTCCCTTTAAATTTTCGTGGAAAATGTCCTTGTATCTTTTCAGTTGTCCACCCGGCCTCCTCTTACCGTCCACAAGCTCACCGTAAAGCAGAGATTTTGGTATGCGGTTTTCTTGCATTCTGCATACGTGACCAGCCCATCTTAAGCGGGATTTTGTGACCATGACTTCAATACTCTCGCAGTTAGATTTTTCAAGGACCGATACGTTTGAGACATGATGGAACCACCGGACTCTTAAGAGTTGTCTAAGGTGTCTCTGTTGCAACTTGTTCAATGCGTTCATGTGTCGGCGGTAAGGCACCCAGGTTTCGCTCCCATATATCATGGTGGGGATTATAATTGCTCGGTATACTGCAAGTTTTGTTTTTGTACTCAAGTCATGATTGTAGAAAACCCTGTCTTTTAATTTCCAGAATGCCCTTGAGGCGCTACTAATCCTGTGCTGAATTTCAGAGTCAATATTGGCCTTTTCCGAAATCAAACTGCCAAGGTAATTGAATTCCGCCACATATTCCAATAGTTCTTCTCCGATTTTTATAGCATTGTTGTGATCTTCCGGGTGAGTGCACATGATTTTAGTTTTGTCGATGTTTAGCTTAAGGCTCAAAGCCTCGTATGCCCAGGTATATGTGTTCAACATTTCTTGTAATTGTTGTACCGTGTTTGCAACTAGAGTGCAGTCGTCAGCGTATTGAAGTTCTGTGATAAATTTTGTACGTGTTTTTGCCCTGAGTCTTTTTATGTTGAACAGACCGCCGTCATATCAGTATCTAATGCCCAATCCTCTCTCCTGCAGTTTGCTGTCCACTATAATGGAGAGCGCTGCCATGAATATGTTGAATAGGAGAGGCGCTAAGACACATCCCTGCCTAACTCCTGTATTTGTTAGGAATGGGTCTCTCAGTGATCCATGATGTGACACTCTTGACTTGTTGTTTTGGAGGCTTTTACACACTGTAAGAAATTTGTTGGGTACTCCGAACTTTTCCATAATTGCCCAAAGCGCATCTCTGTTCACAGAGTCGAAGGCTTTTGTTAGATCGATGAATGCAACATAAAGTTTAGACTCCTGCTCTTTTACTTTTTCCTGTAGTTGACGGATGGAAAATATGGAATCGACGGTGCCGCGGTTGGTACGAAAACCCCTTTGCGATTCTGGAAGGATTTTTTCTATATATGGGTGCAGGCGGTTTGACATTATTTTTGCAAGAATTTTTCCGCCGATAGCCAATAGCGAAATTCCCCGGTAATTTCCGCAGTCTGATGCACTTCCTTTGTTCTTAAATATATTCACTATATTCGCGTTCGAAAATCGTGAGGTACCTCTCCGCTTTCCCATACGACATCAAAGAGAGCCTTAAGATGATCCATAATTTCTTTACTTGCACACTTATAGATTTCCGCCGGAATCGCGTCACAGCCAGCTGATTTGTTGCTGTTTTATGGAGGTCTTTATTTCTTGTTCTGTTATTGGGATGTCTAATACATCGAGGCTGTTATACTGAGGTATTGTGTTTAGTGCTTCCATATTGGGGTTGTTTTCTTGGTTAAGGATATGGCTGTAATGTTCTTTCCAGTGATTTCTGATTTGTTCTTCCTCTTTTAGAAGTTCGCCATTTTGAGCCATGATTGGGCAGCTTACCTTCTTAGTTGGACCGTATACTTCTTTTACAGCCTCGAAGAATTTACGATAATCGTGATGAGTGGCGTACTCTTGAATCTGATTCGCTTTTTGTGACCACCAGTTATCCTTTACTTGGCGCAGTTCTCTTCGAAGGGTGTTGTTGGCTGCTTTAAAGTTATCTACCAGTCTTGGATTAAGTGGATTTGCAGTGACGGCTTGATGTGCTCTATGCTTTTGTTCCAAAAAAGCCTGTATATGCTGTTGATTTTCGTCAAACCAGTCTGGTTGTTTCTTTTTGTTCGACTTTCCCAGTACTGCTTCGCTGGTTTTATGAATCGCATCCCTTAATTGTGTCCAGTCTTGTTCAGCTTCCAATATTGAGATTGAAGTTATCGGTGGAAGTGATTCTTTGATGGCTTCCCGGAGGGCGTCGGCGGTATTCTTGTTCTCTAGATCCCGTACGTTCAATCTGGTCATGTTGTTTTGCTTTTTACAGCGTGGATGTTTGGGTTTTAACTGGATTTTCATTTTTGAAATTAAAAGTCGGTGGTCAGTGCCGCATTCGGCATCTATTCTAGCTTTTGTGAGCCTAACATCTTTTAGATGCATCCTTCGAACGATTATGTGGTCCAATTGATGCCAGTGGCCTGATCTAGGATGTTTCCAGGTATCTTTAAACTTGTTCATCAACATGAACCACGTATTGGTGATGCAAAGATTATACTCTGCGCATGTTGTTAATAAGCGTTCACCATTGCTATTTGCGTTTTCCATTGTTTTCCCAATACGTCAGGCCATATTTCCTGTTGTTTGCCTACACGGGCATTAAAGTCACCTAGCAAGATGATTCGTTCGTGCTTTGGAATTCGTTGAAAGGCATTTTGTAATGCTTGGTAAAATTTATCCTTATCTTCAATTTTAGCGTCAAGGGTGGGAGCGTAGGCACTAATGTTGTTGACGTAAGTTTTGTCTGATATGGGGTACCTTAGGGTCATAAGACGTTCGGAGACACCAATAGGTACTTCTGTTAACTTGGTGGCGATTTCGTTTTTGATCGCAATGCCTACACCATGAATTCTCCTGTGTGTTGCGGGGTGACCTTTCCAAAAGAAGGTGTAATGCTCCTCAGTGAGACTACCTTATCTGCAAAGCGTGTTTCGCTTAGAGCGGCAACATCTATATTTAATCGGTGGAGTTCCTGTGAGACCAGTGCTGTTCTTCTCTCTGGTCGATTTGAATTTATCTTGTCCAGTAGAGTGCGGACGTTCCACGCCGCGAACGTGAAACATTGATGTTTTTGTTTCTCCGATGATACGCTCGAGTAGGCACCCTCCCGGAGATCCGATTGAGGGGTATTTACCTCCGGACGATAATTTTGTCCCACTCGAATGTTCCATCATTGCTGTGTGTAAGCTGCGTGAAAAGGTTTAATCTGGGTGGCGGTTACGCTGCCGCACAGTTTTGGCTGCAACTGTAGCACGGGATGGTTATGGCACAGTGAGGACTGGTGACGATAGTTCCCTTGTGCTACTGCTCCCTCGGCCGGCTAGGGTGTATTTTATTACTCCTTTTCCCCAGAAGATGGTAGGTCTGAGGGTTGTATAAGGTTATACCGCCTATACTCGGACGTCAGAGCCTCGTTTGTGTAAACAGGGTGCACCACGTGAAGGTGAGGTTGACTTTTGGGTAAGCTAGGCTATATGTATCGCTTCAATACCCCTTGCACCCCCCATAATTTTTACTTGGCATTAAATGGCCTACAAAATTTTGATATCAAAAGAAAAAAAGTCAGTGGCGCACATGTTTTTCTCTTGAAAAATATTCCAGTGTTAACCCATATGTACGTCTCTGATGAATTTATTGACACTTTTTTAACATTTAAATATGTAACACTTATAGTAACTTTTACCCCCAAAATTTCAATCAAATCACTAATAGTATTTAATAAATCGAAAGATTATTAAGATTTTAACATCCTGTAGCTACGAAACAAAGCAGAATCGGACCTATGTTGATATGAAAAATAAGTATTATTTTTAAGTGAGGAATCTCCCCAAGAGAGATGGCACATGTTTTTTAAAACACCCTGTATATAAAAAATAAATCTTATTTTTACGAAAGGAATCTGCCCACGCTAAATATCACGTGTTTTTTAGACATCCTGTATACTCGAAGCTGACAAGAACGTGCTAAAACTCCAAGCGTGGGTCTTGCGATAAATTTAAACTATAACCAAACATTAATTACACTCACCCAAGGCTTTCCATACCCTCTGATCGGTCTCCTGGTCCCACGGGAGAGCCGATACGGCCCTGATTCGGTCGCCCGTCAAATTCGAGAAGACGACGAACTCCCTGGGCACCTCGTTCTCCTCCAGGCAGCCGGCTCGCGATCTCGTTAAGTATGTTATATTTATTTTTCTGCAAAAAAGAAGATGTATAGGTAGGTAAATCGCGTTCGTATTTGATAAAGTCGTGTTTCGGTTGATCGAAGATGTTTACAATGTAATACGGTATGTTCTTGGTTGCATGCAAAAAAAAACAAACATCTACTTCCCTAATATTACGAAAATATATTTTCTCAAACTTTTTAATATAACTTTATTTATATGCCGGGTGTATCTCAAACGTGGCTCACCCCTGTGTGTAACTTTTCATTTTTTCAGATAAAAAACAAAACACAAAATTTGGTATGTTAGTATATGACAGAAATTAGGATTGATTGACGTATTCAATTATTTTCGGCCACTTCCTGTTTCTCCGGAAATGACTACAATTTTTTATTTTTAACTAGCGGTATTTCTAGACTATATTTGATAGAAAATGACACTCTGTATAGAATGGCTATAATATATCAACTTTTGACATTTTCGTTTAAAACAAAATTGTATTTTAAATTTCAGCCTACAGTGCCATGGCTGTGTTTACACTAATTTTTAATCAAGTACCCTTGAAAAAATAAATTTGATCGTCTGTGTCTTATCCTGGCCGGTTAAAAGATGTCCAAATCGTATTTTTAATCACATCTCATTTTTTTAAATGGAACGACGTGGCTCATTATTAGCATATTTGGAAAAAGCCTTTTTTCACGAATTATTTGGTAGCACACACTTGGTATTTCGAGTCAAATTGAATGAATCGTATGTTGCAGTTTCAAATAATATATAAGTTTTATATGCAGTTTCAAATAATATATAGGATCCTATATCTCCTACGCGGAGCAAAGGGCTTTGTGAAAGCTCTCCATCGGGTTCTATTTTTGGCAGTTGTTTTTGCTTCCTTCCATGTTGACCCTACTTGTTGAAGCTTGCTTTCTTTTTCCTTGGGGATTCCACTCCAACGCTGATCTCGCTATATTACTATCAGGTTTCCGCAAGGTGTGACCTATCCCCATTTTCTTTTGCGAATTTCAATGCCTACTTCTTGTTGGTTTGTAAAATGAAGCAGGTCGGTGTTACGTATAGTGTCTAGCCAAAAGATTTTAAGTATTTTCCGCAAGCAGCGATTGATAAATACCTGTGGACGGTTGATGGATATTTTTGTCACTCTCCATGTCTCGCAGCCAAATAATAAAACTGGTATGACATTGGAATTGAATATTCTTAATTTTGTTTGTATGTAGAGTTGATCGGAGATCCAAACTGATTTTAGTTGGCCAAAGGCTCGCTGGGCCTTCCTGATCCTGCTGACAATATCCGCGTCTACGCCACCGTTTGCTGTTTGCTTTACTACGTTAATACTTCCCAGGTAAGTAAACTCTGTTACATTCTCGATATTGTCAAGACTTACATAGATGTCAACTTGGGTTTAGATCAAATTGGAAAAAAACACAAATAATATAATTCTAGTAAATAAAATATAATTCGAGTAAACCAATTTGATATATGCCCAAGAGATCGGTTACCTGCATGACATCGACCCAGATATGTTTTTGAATAACATTGATAATTAAACAATTAAAATACAACAATCTCGGGTCGATAATCAAACGCAGGCTACCAAAGTTCGATTTCCTCATGGTCATAGCCGGGTGAATGTAATTAGATGAAAACAGATTGAGCGACGTAACCGGCGATGACCACGAGGGATAGAAAATATAAAAATGTATGCTGAAGAGAGGCGGATGGAGTCCGTCGATGTGAGTCGCATTATTACGGTCAGTAATTCGCGTTATCAGTCCGTTAGTAGCAGACAGCGCAGAGTGAAGATGTTCCTGTAAGTACTTCTTTAAGTAAACCGTTAAGTCTTGGCATTCCCCAAAATTGTTATACAGTGTAAATCTTATATTAAATAAATGCATATTTTATCCAATGGTTGTTTTGATTGAGAGAGAGAACCTGGTATAGCGACCCTAGCAAACAACCCTCAGCTAGGTCGCGACAATATGTTTGATTCCTACATTGAATGGAGTGTTGTTATTTGTGTTAATGCGCATTGATTTTGTTTTGTCGATGTTTATGCTTAATCCTACTTTGTCTGCTTCTGTTTTTAGGCGTCTGAGCATCACTTCCATGTCTTTGGAAGATTGCGTTGTGAGAAAGATATCATCAGCATAATCAAGATCCGTCAGATGCGATGTCAGAGTCTATTGTACTCCCCTAATATTTGCTGTGGCTATAGTCAAAACGCTGTCGAGCACGATATTAAATAGAAGCGGCGATAATGTGCAACCCTGCTTTACTTCTATCCCTAAGTTAAAACTGTCGCTGGTTCTACCGTTGTGTAGCACATTGCATTCTGTGTTTCTGTAGAGTTTCTTGATTATATTAAGTAGTTTTTCCGGAACACCATTTTCTTTTAGAGTTTTCCATATCATCGCATGGGGGATACTATCAAAAGCTTTGACGAAATCTATGAATAAGAATAAAGGTGACCTAAATTCTACTGACTGCACTATGATAATGCGCAATGTGTTAAATATGGTCAGTGCACGAGTGGTTCGGTCGGAACCCAGTTTGGAGAGAGATCAGCTTCGAGATAAGATCGACCAGAGCGTCAGAGTAGGCTCTATATAGGAGTTTAACCTTAAATGAACTATAAAGGATATTATCTTGTGAATGGTGTTTTACAAAACAATACCTCTCCAGTTGTCACAGTTAGTTGTATCTCCTTTTTTAAGGAGTTTAATAATGAGACCCTGTTTCTATTCAACTGGGATGATGTTAGATCCCAAGCTCTTGTAATTAGAGGATGCAGTATGTCTGCTGCTGTGCTAGGATCTGCTTTGAGGAGGTCTGCATTATTGTTCTTAAGTGTTTTAATAGTTTTTTGTAGTTCTGTTTTAGTTGGTGTGTCGCAATTGATAGGCATTTTGATTGTTGGCTCCGGTTCCTCGTTGTCGAAATTTTGTTCACTTGTTGGTCCAAGCAGGTTGCTGAAGTGCTCTTTCCATCTGTTAAGCTGTTCTTCATCAATATATAGCAATGCAGTTTCAAATAAACCATATTGAAAAATGTTGACATGCCATATGTCATTCTATTCAGAATGTCATTTTCTATCGAATAAAATATAAAAATACCGATGGTGCCATTTAAAAATCAAAAGTTGTAGTCATTTCCGGCGAAACAGGAAGTGACCGAAAACAATTAAATACGTCAATCAATCCTAATTTATGTCATATACTAAGACACTAAATCTGGATTTTTTATTTGAAAAAATAAAAAAGTTATAGAGGTGAGCCGCTTTTGAGACGCACCCGGCATAGCTGTGTATCCTTCTTGGTCCCTAGTCCTTCTGCTTGTGCTTCTTTACGGCTATTTACGTGAAAAATTTATCTGTCCCAAAGTTACCCCGTCAGACGGGGTTACTTTAAGACAACTTTAAAAGTGCAATAACTAAAGTACTGCTTAGAATTTTGATTTCATATTTTGGCTAATTTTTGGGTTATAATGAAGAGGTTAAATGACTCTGCTTAGGTTTAAATATTTCATATAACAAGGACTATATCAACGAAAAAAAAACTAAGAATCCTAACCAAAGTTACCCCGGTTTACGGTACTAATTTCCGATACGTAATTATTAATGCGAGATCTTGAGACACTACGACGACATATATTTTAAGGTGCGTATAGACATGACGAGACGAGCGCGAGACAAGATCGGCCAGGGCGAGATTACTTCCATCCATATTTTGAGAGACGCCTGCCACGAGCTAAGCAAGCTATAGCATGAACTGGTATGCATCTTTGCTGAACTTTTATTAGAAGTTTCTAGAGAACTGAAAGATCTAGATTGGAGTTTTTTCATTAATGTTGCACAATCCGGCGGATGCTGAGGATAAGTTGGTCCTCCAGAATAACAAACTGTGAAGTTTTAAACAAAATAAAAACTCGTGTACACCTAACAAGCACAATTAAAATCAAAAAGACTTCAGCACTTAGAATATGAAGAAATACAGCTGATAATAGGAGGAAAAAACGATGAAAAACACGGAATAAAGAGGAAAGAGAAGTCATGGCTGTGTAATATAAGAGATTGGACCCACACCGACGGAAACACCCATCAAGCTCTAATCGGCATGGAACAAGGTAGCGGAGTATGCTGAGGCGATACTCAAGGAGCTTCGCACCACCCACCTACGAAGAATAGACAGCAGTAACACCAAATAAGAACGCCCCGACGATCTAAAAAAAAAAAAAAAAAATCAAGCTCTGGACAGAGAGTCATATACCATATTGATCGCCAACCTCAACAGAGAAGGCACCTAGGAGTAGGAATGTTTCACAATGAGATAGATGTATCATTCAACAGTTAAAACTATTTTCAATATGAAGTTACTTCAGAAAATACCGAATTTTAACAAGAATTTTTGTTATTTTTTAATGGATACTAATATTTCTTGACTTATTTTTTTTTTAAATTTAATGGGCACAAGCACATCGGATACAAGCATTTGTTACCGAATTATGTTTACAAATTATTAAACAAAGAAAAAAACTATTTAAAATATTTAAATACAACTATTCGAGAACATTTTTTATTTTTAAGTAATTGTTATCAGGTAGTAATTGTTAATTTTGAAGTTTAACTTGATATAATGTCACAGACCGTCAACGGTTTTTGTAGACGTATCTGTTTAAAAAAAACTAAAGTGTTCTCGAATAGTCGCATTTAAATATTTTAAATAGTTTTTTTCTTTGTTCTTTGAATTTTTTTGCTTCCGTCGACGGAAAGAGATAAACTTTCCGAAACGTTAAGCATTTTTTTGTCCGTTTTTTGCAAACACCATGACCGGTTAGGGTATACAAATTCTCTATTTTTGTATTAGGTTCAGATTTCAGGCAAATATTACCTTCGGTTAAAATAAACATTATACCGTATAAAGAAGTCAGGGTTTAAGAGGTGGAAATATTAAACTGGTTATAACTGTTTCTCTGAAATCCTCTTCCAATATGTTTAGGTGTGTAATTTCACGAGAGCGT